TCATTTCGAGTCCGATTTATGATGTGTTCATTTGGCAATTCTTGATCGAGTTTAACATTGAACTATCATCACTCAAAATCAAATGTTAGTAAATAAAATGGCTTGTTTGTTATAATCAAAACATTAAGGTTATAATCAACCATAAGTCAACAATTTCCCCCTTTTTTATTATAACAAACAAGATGATTTGCAATGTAAGATTTGTACAATTAATATCATATTGATAAGGGAATATACATCATAAATTCATCATGTAATTCATATTCCCCCTTTCTTTTACAAAACAACAACTAGACATTTAAAGCATTTTATATTTTCAAATCAAAGCATGCATAATCATCTCACTCTATTCTCCCTTTTGACATAAGCAAAAAGGGATATCATTTAAGATCAAAATTTTAAATTAACCATGAAAGAATAATATATTCCCCCCTCAATTAAGCACAAGATGCAAAAAAAAAAATAAAAAAATCATCCTTTTATAGTAAAATATTAATCAAAGTATGAGTAATGCAAATAACAAAAGCAAAATCATTTGAATAGAGTTTATATTTCCCCTTTCAATAGGAACTGAGTTTGTGTTTATTTCATATTCCATATAAAGATAGTATAATATTTAGAGACATGTATTTTCACAATTCATTGAAATAAATCACATTAGAAGTCATCACAATTCATGGAAATAATGGAAGTTATAGTTCAAGTTATAATGCATAGATTATAAGTTATATTTCATAGCAATTAAATCACATACAAAATATAATATCAAGTTTACTTGCAATTTAAAGAAGAGAGTTAGTCATACCTCGATATTTTTGTTATGCATATAGAAGTACCTTGATTATCTTTGTCCATTTGATTGATGAGGTCATTGAAGTGTTCATTTGTATTTACCTCATCTTCAATGACCATAAAGCACATGTTGACGATTTCTTCTTGACTTTCATCTCCATCATCATCGCTTTCATCTCATGTCGCTTGAAGAGCTTTCTTTTTTATAAATCTATTCTTCTTTATTTTGGAATCAATGTTTTTGACGAAAACCTTTTCATTTCTTGACAAGAAGAACTAGATCATCGAGTTCTTCATCATTCATATTTTCGCTTGAAGTGCCTTCATCGACTATGGATTTAAAAGCAACTTGGCGTTTTTCCTCTTTTAAGCTTTTCAACATTTTCTCCTTCGTCTCGATGCGATTTAGCTCATACGTCATTAATGTTCCATAAAGCTCTCTTCCAATGGATATATGTTGACATTTTGGGTGTTTTCTATCAACATTCTCAATGGGCTTCAATCTTCCGAGAGCGACCTAAGTATTTTACTTACAAGATCACCATTAGTAAATTCATGATCAAAGTCTTTGATGCTATTAGTAATATTCGTGAAGCGAGTAATCATGTCAAAAATATGTTCATTTTCTTTCATAAAGAAATTTTCAAAATCTTTAATTAAATGATTTATCTTAGTTTCTTTTACTTTACCAGTTCCAACATGAGTATTTTCTAAAATATGCCAAATATCATAAGCCGAATCACATGTACTAATACGATTAAATTCATTTCTATCCAATGCCAATAAAGTATATTTTTGGCTCTAGCATTTAGAGATAATTTTCTTTTTATCACCCTCATCATATTCTTTTCTAGGTATTAAAATTATTTGGTCCAATTATCCATCAAATTTAATAACCTTAGTAAGCTTATAAGGACCAAATTCAATAACTTTCCAAATATGATAATCTATGGATTGAACAAATATCGTTATCCTAATTTTCCAATAGTTATAATTAGTACCATCAAATAAAGGAGGACGATTTGTAGAGCACCCCTCAAGAGTTTGAAAAAAGTGGTTAGTCATTGCTCAAGATTGTGAAATCTTTAAAATTGAGCATCTTACTCTGATACCAATTGTTAGCCCAAGAATAACTAATCAATAGAGGATGAATTGATTTTTGAAACTTTTTCGACATTTAGTCTCAAAACAATACAATACACAAGATATAAATATAAAGTATAATACTAGAATTAAATATGCAAGTTCGATAACTTAATTCAAGTATAAATATAGCACAATATAAATTGCAATGTAAAGTAAAGTGCGGTAATGTAAAGATAAAAAAAACCAATTTAATGGGGGTTCGATACACAATGTGTTCTACTTCCCCATTATCAAGCTCTCCGTTACGAGTAAGGTCAAATACACTATAATGGTAACTTACAACAAAGATTATCAATCCTTAAGTGACTTACAACAATGATCACTTATATTTAGGTGACTTACAACAAGAAGCACCTACCCTTAAGTGACTTACAATAAGGAGCATTTATCCTTAGGTGACTTACAACAATGAGCACATATCCTTATAATCGAGTTTTCACAAGACTCTCGAAACCGTTAAACTTTGAGTGATAATTTTACAATTGAAGAAACCCTCTTAACCAATCATATAATCAAGTTAAATATTAGAGAGTTAGGTAAATACTTCAATAGATAGCAAATAATAAAGTTCAAGTGTTTTTGTTGTAAACTTTAATGAATGATGGATAATGAATAGTTTGTATCTTGTATCTATGTTTTCAACATATGATCTCTCTTAACAAATAATACACGTTAAATATGAAGAAAGATTTAAACTTCAATATANAAATATGAAAAGAGATTTACACTTCAATATAAGTGTACGCAAATAAAACATTTATCAAGAATTGAAAGAGATAAGATTGAGAAGTTTCTTTGTAAAGTAAAATTCTTGATGAAATAGATGAAACTGATTTTGATCAATCAAGAGATTCTTTGTATCAAAGTTTTCAACAAATGATCTCTCTTAACAAATAATACAAATTAAGTATGAAGAGAGATTTACACTTTAATAAAAGTGTTGGAAAAAAAACTTCTATCAAGAATAAAGAAAAGATGAGATTGTGAAAGTTTCTTTGGAAAAAGAATTCTTGATAAGATAGATGAAAATTAATTTGATCAATCAAGAAAGTCTTTGTATTAAATGAAATAGAATTTATAATCTAGTAAGTTAAATGATTTTCAATAAATATACTCTCTACATTACTCTTGTAAAATCTTGAAGTTGAATGGAAAAAAATATGAGTGTTTATAGAGCAAAAGAGGAGGCTGGAGGAACTTTCGGTTGATCACTTTAGGTCGATCGGAAATTTTCGGTTGACCAAATATAGCCGTTAGAAATCAAACCGTTAGACTTTCGGTTGACCAACTTTCGGTTGATCGGAAAATTTCGATTGACCGAAAGTTTTGACTTTTTTTTTTAAAATGCTTTTTTCAAAACCTATTTCATATTATGAGTCAAAAGCAATTTAATGCAAGTAATGGATTATGAAAGTAATTTGAGCTTTATGCACTAGCTAAAGATTGACGAGTTAATACATTTACATATTACATTTACATATAAATGTATAATGTTTAATCGCCTTAACTTGTCGTTCTTTTGGCTTGTATCTTGATTTGCGTCTTTTGCGAATCTTAAAGTTTCAATTTGATCGTCGCATGCAAATCGCTATCGTCTCGAATGCTAACTTTCACTTTGATCTTCATTTCGAGTCGATTTATGATGTGTTCATTTGACAATTCTTGATAGAGTTTAACATTGAATTATCATCACTCAAAATCAAATGTTAGTAAATAAAATGGTTTGTTTGTTATAATTAAAACATTAAAATTATAATCAACCATAGGTCAACATTTACATGTTTCTATTGCGACTAGAAAACGAGCATTTTTAGCAATGCAACATGCAAAGATGGATCTTCATTACTAAAATAAATGACTCTCTTGCTGATTGTATAACACTCTAAATTGAATAAATAGATGTAAATTTTATTATAGAAGACTTTTGTGATTCAAAACCTCGTTGGGAACTTCAATCATGTAAATATGCAATAATAACTTTTAAAGTCGTATATGAATTTATAATGCTTGCTTTCTTAAATTTCAATTCCCGTTAACTAAATTCTTGAATTTGTCCCTGATTCCCCTACAAATATTTAGCATTAATCTAGCAACGATTTTGATTTTCTTCTTCTTTTGAAAACGTTAAAAGCAAGGCCCAGACTCCAATTTTCTTGCCATTCCAATGGAAAAAACGCCCACATTAGACTAATGAGTAATGTTATTCATCCCCAGTGGAGATGAAAACACAATCTATGTGATTTTAAATGATAGGTTAAATGAAATGTAAAATTAATTGACTTATTTAATTTCACTTAACATTTAATGTCACATTGACGCCACGTAGACTGTATTTTCATCCCCAGTGGGGATGAATAGCATTACTCTAGGCTAACACATTACATGGCTTGTTTGATAAGACATGCATATCTCATTTAGTGAAGTGTTTTGCTCACAAAACATGCATTAAAATTCTTAAACCCCCACTTAGAATTACACCACATACGGACAATTGCTTAATGCAAGTCAATCTTGTCGTTCATACAGTACACTTCTTTCAGAATAAAAATAATTGGAACAACTTGGCCGTGATTTCACTTAGGCCCTATTTGGGAGAGATTTAAATTTTTCTACAGTAAATCAATTCTCATTTTCAACCACACATTTTTCAATAAAATAATATTTTGCATCACATCAATAATTTTTTCTTCTTTTTCAACCACACATTTCCCATCATATCACTATTCTGGAGGGATTAAAATCGGATTAAAATTGAAAATATAGCCGTTATTGTTGACTTTTATTAGACAAGTGGGACCCAATAACGGCCATATTTTCAATTTTAATTGGCTTTTAATCCCTCCCGAACGGGGCCTTAATCTAGACTCACTAGTAATACGGTAACATGTTAATGCAATTCAAATAGATGTCCACAACATATAACCAAGTTTCGGAGCATAATTTCCATCTCTAACGGAGAAACAAAATACAGTGCAGTGCATTTAAAAAGGCATCAACTAATACACTTATAATCATTTTGTAAGATTTTTGGTCCCAAAACAAAAATCCTAAGAAACAGACTTTCACTTCTTCTTCTCATGACCACCTCCAGCAGCCCTGCATCAAATTGCCAAAATAACATAAGCAACTAGCTAATAAAAATTAATCTCCAACTAATTGCATTTGTAACCAGAATACAAGTATATAGAGAAAAATGAGAAACTCAATTCTATTTGAGTAAAAATTTATAAAACTATTAGGTTAAAATTTCAGTTGGATGAAGAATGTAAACATAGGGATGCAATGTCATTGAGGGAAATTACCTCATCTTACGGAGGACGCTTGACATCTCCTCTCTCTTCTTCTTTGCCCTCTTGTGAGTGCCCAGCTTTCTCTTAGCTACCTTCAGAGCTCGCTTGTCCTTTCCAACTTTAAGAAGCTCAGTAATCCTCTTCTCGTATGGTGCAAATCCAGCAACTTCCCTTATAAGACTCCTTGCAAAGTGCACTCTCTTGCTTGTTTTCTGAGGCAATCAACATAGTTAGAAATCGACAAAAGAAAAAAGGAATACAGAATTACAATCACAAAATCTTGCATATAGATGCATGAGAGCTGCCATTTTACTTGTCAGATAATACTCTTAGTTACAAACAGAGTCTGAAAAGGACAAAATCAACCCACTGCAATAGTAAGAAGAGAAAATTAATCTGATTATTTTTCTGTTCTTTTCTTATAGCAGGTTTTTACTAACTTCTACTGAAAGGACTTTTTCCTCGATTAAAAAATTATACTAGGCATTTGTCTAAGACTTTCAATTAATAAATCTAGCAATGAAGGATATGAACAAAAAGAACTAAGTTTCAACTGACTATATTTCTAGCTTTAAAACTCAATTTTTGTGCACTCTTATCAATTCAACGTGCTAGTTCATGTTTTCTAATTAACTGGCAAACAAAGGTTACTCAAGTGCTTAAAGAGTCACAAGCTTGATGTGTTAAAAAATAGTATAAATAACTAAACCACATAAAAATCAATCAATTTTCCCCTTTCTGGTGTAGTTAAAAAAAAAATGATAAAAAAATTTAAGTCAAAGTCAACAATAAATTTTAACTTCACATTTCATTGACGTTTATCAAATTTTACTAAGAATTTGATTTTTAACTACACAAAACAGGGACTAAAGATGCAAAAAGCCAGAACTATCAAATCAAACTGGCGAAAAAATCATAGAAAACACTTGCATTTAACAGGCAAAAAGTCATAGAACTATCAAATTAAACCGGCAAAAAAGCACAGAAAACACTTACGCCTTTCCTAGAGGATGGACGTGGAGCTAATTCCTTACTAGTCACAATATGGCCCTTGTTCAAACCAACAAATAAGCCAGTGTGTGGCTGCTTCGGAGCCATTACTGCTCTGCAACAATGACAGAATCACATATGCACGAGTTTTTTTATATAATTATCGTCCATTAAAACTCTTCAGAAACAAAGAAATGCTTCAGAAGTCTATAGGAAACTATACTAAAACTTAAGAAAATGTGAATAAATAAATAAACCAGAATACTGGGCTCCATTGTGAGTTTAGCCTTTCTATCAAACCAATTAACATGTCATTAGGATTCTTTGCAATGACATAAATAATCTTCTCTAAGAGGGCATAACGCTGAATTATTATATTATCATAACCATGGAATTGTAATTTTTATAAATTGCTTCACATCCTACTCTTTTTTCAGAAATTTTCTTTCTCGGATTCCTTTTCCATACAATCTATCTTCTCATAAAAATTGCACCTAGGAATTTATACAATTTCCTATATCAAGTAAATCAACATAACTAGACTGTTTATTCATACTACGAGCAAGCAAAAAATGTTCCCTTAAGTAGCGCGAAGATTCCGAATTAAAAAAAGAAAAAGAAAAAGAAAAAATGAGTATAAAAAAAGATGTCACATTCAAGAATGTTTAAACCAGAAACGTTATTGAATCTGTATACAAGCACATGTATATACATCTATGAATCGTGTAGGTGGTGGTCTAACCTTCTTTTCGATTTGACTGTCACTGCAAAAATCTTAGGCGGTGCACGGGGAAGAACAACTAGGGTTTCACAGCGTAAAGCGTTTTATATACAAACCCGGGTTTTAAATCAAGGGTAAAATTGTCACGATGTCTCTAACTGGTAAATATTTGGGGTGGTCATATTTCCTAAAAC